ATCCAACGTTCAAAGTATATCAACACCTCATCTCTTAAAAAACATGGATATGTTAAATTCTTATTTTATATTCCATGTTTTACATTTATATACAATACATGACTTCTCATATTTTTTTTTTATTAACCTATAATATTATATGATTTCAGCTTATTATTTTATTTGATGCGATATGTCTTCAATTTTCATAAGTTTTTGTTACTTACAGATATCCAACGTTCAAAGTATATCAACACCTCATCTCTTAAAAAACATGGGTATGTTAAAATTCTTATTTTATATTCCATGTTTTACATTTAATTTACATTTATATACAATATATGACTTCTCATATTTTTTTTATTATCCTATAATATTATATGATTTCAACTTATTACTTTATTTTATGCGATATGTCTTCAATTTTCATAAGTTTTTGTTACTTACAGATCAATCAACCAACGTTGCTCGTCAAACTGAAAACGTGAATTCATTTAATTCGCGTGGAATCCAAAATGCAACCCTACAATATTCTCTTTCGTTTACATATGTTAGAACTCCGTTATCTAACATTACAAATGGTAATAATTTTTTGTTTTAAAATATACTATTATCCATTTTCTATATAATTTATATATACTGACTTTATTTATTTTGTTCGGTTAATATTAGTTTCAATAACTACGCGACTTCCAACTTACCAAACAAAAGACAATAATGTGTACTTTCAAATGATATGACATCGAAGAATGCATCTAAAATAACTGGTTCTTCATCATCAATCAAGTTAAATCCAGGATGTCATAAAGTAAAAAGGAAGTCAAAACATTTATCCATTATTCCGTTCATTGATTTGACAAAAGATGTATAAAATATACATCAAGTAATATATGAAAACCTAATAGTTGGTATTTCAAAAGGTAATAAAATAATAATTTCCATTTTTGTTTTTTTACAATTCAAATACTGTGTTGTATATACTTACAAAATTAAATAATTTTTTTTCTACGACTTTTATTTTGCAGAATATTTGGATCATGGTGATCAAAATGTTGTATGTCAAACATGTCATGCAATGTTATGGACAAATGAATCCATCAGAGGTAAAGATAAAGGGAACATGGATTATTCATTATGTTATGGTTATGGCAAAGTTCAACTTCCGGATTTAAAGAAAGCACCCCCAAGTTATGAAAGAATGTTTCGAGCAACAGATTCTAATAGCAAACACTTCATGAAAAATATTCGACGTTACAATTCAATGTTTTCTTTTAATGTCGATGAGTGGTAAAATTGATTCTTCAATCAATAGAGGAAACACTCCATACAATCTCGGGTGGTCAAAATTATCATAGTATAGGAAGCCTTTTACCAGCAAAAGGATCTGAATCAAAATTCTCTCAGTTATACATTTATGATACTGAGAACGAAATTTCAAATAGACAAAGATGCTTTAGGTATTTTTTCAAACTTCTTATTCAGAATTAATTATAATCTTTTTACCTTTTTACTAATATTTTGTATAAATTCAATTTTTTAGTGGGGAAAAGGATCAGTCTACATCAATTGATACTGCTATTATCGAAAATATTAAGGTGATGCTAGATTCAAATATTGTCTTGGTAAGATCTTATAGAATGGTAAAAGATACTTTTCAGAAAAATCCTCAACTTGATTTGAAATTATGACTTATCGGGAGAAGGGATCGAGATGGAAGAACATATAACCTACCAACTACTTCTAAGGTTGCCGCTTTAATTGTAGGTGACATTTATGATTCAATTGAAAAGAGGGATATTGTTGTTCAAACAAAAACTGGATTTCTACAACGTATCAATAAATTGCATCATTCGTACCTTCCTCTCCAATATCCATTACTATTTCCATATGGTGATGATGGTTACAGTGTTGACATTCTTCATAAAGGTGTGTCATCTATGACCAACAACAAGCGGGCGAAATGTACAATGAGAGAATTGTTCGCTTTTAGAATCCAAGATAGAGATCATTCGTTCTCGCTCATTCTTAATTCAAAAAGGTTGTTTCAACAATTTCTGGTAGATGCCTATACTATGATGGAAACGGAGAGATTGCATTACATACATAGGTAACAACTTGTTCTTAGATGCGAGTCTTATGAGAATTTACGTAACCAAAAAGTTCAAGGAACCACTAATATCTCCCATATCGGCCAACATGTCATATTACCTTCGTCATTTACTTGTGGCGCACGCTATATGCTCCAAAACTATTTGGATGCCATGTCACTATGTAAATGGTTTGGATATCCGGATTTCTTCATAACCTTTACGTGTAATCCCAAATGGCTAGAGATTAAAAGGTTTCTTAAGGATACTTCAATTCAACCAGAAGACATACCTGATATACTATGTAGGTTGTTCAAGATCAAGCTTGGTGCATTTATTAAAGACTTAAGGGAGAATCACATTTTCGGCAAAGTTCAAGCATGTAATTAAAATTATGTTTTTTCATTATTGATGAAACATTACTCTTATTATACTATATTTTTTATATTTTTTTACAGTCTCATCACATTTTTTTATTTGCAAAATATTTTGCAGATGTTTATACCATTGAATTTCAAAAGAGAGGTTTGCCACACTGTCATATATGTCTATTTATGCATTCTGACTACAAGCTACCCACTGTAGAATTTATGGATCCGATAATTTCTGTCGAGATACCAGACAAAATTGAAGATCCAGAATTGTATTCATTTTTCAATGAGTTCATGATTTATGGTCCATGTGGAGCTAAAAATATCAATTATCCATGCATGGTGGAGAAAAAGTGCTCTAAAAACTTTCCGAAACAATTCTGTAATCATACGTCTATTGATCAAAATCGTTTTCCGTTATATAGGAGAAGAAACGATGGTCATTTTGTAGAAAAATCGGTTGTCAAGTTGGATAATAGAAATGTTGTCCCCTACAACAAATATCTATTAAAAAGATACCAGACACATATTAATGTTTAATGGTGCAATCAGGGAGCTTCTATAAAGTATTTGTTTAAATACATAAACAAGGGTCCTGATAGAGCTACAGTTGCTGTTGTACAAACCAACAATAAATGTGAAAATAATTATGTGGTCGATGAAATAGTTGAATATTACGATTGTAGATATTTATCTGTATGTGAAACATCTTGGCGAATTTTGAATATGATGTTCATTACAGGTATCCTTCTGTGGTGAGACTACCTTTTCATCTTCCTAATCAACAACAGATTGTATATGGTGAAGACGATGATATTGACGATGTTCTGGACAAACCTTTTGTTGCTGCTTCAAAGTTCACATCTTGGATGGAGTGTAATGCAATTAATAGCAAAGCACGAGAACTTACATGCGTTGAACTTCCTACAAAGTTTGTTTGGAAATTAAATGGTAGGTTTTGGAAGCGAAAGAAAATAGGAAAAGCCATTGGTAGAATTCATTCGATTTCACCTGATTTTGGTGAAGCTTATTTCTTAAGGATTCTTTTAAATAAAGTTAAAGGTCCGACGTCGTTTGATGAAATTCGCACGGTAAATGGTGAAACATATTCTTCTTTTAGATATGTTTGTTATGCACTTGGGCTATTAGATAATGACAAGGAATACATCGATGCAATTAAAGAAGCAAGCCATTTTGGATCTGGTTTTTATCTACGCTTATTATTTGCTACATTGTTGATCTGTAACAGTATGTCTAAACCAGAGGCCGTTTGGGAAAATACATAGAAATATTTGGCGGATGGAATTTTATATAACCAATGACAAAGGTTCAAATCTCCAGGTATTAAAAGAATTTTCTTCATTTTTATTTATAATAATTTTTTTTATTATTCAACACTCATTAAATAATAATTACAAATATTATTAAATATTGTATTTTATATTTTATAATTAATTTAAAATTTCTTGTGCAAACTTATCACTTACCGAAGATGAACTTAAGAACTTAACTTTGTTCGAAATAGAACAAATTTTACTTGGAAACAACTCCACTCTCAAAAAGTTTACAAAATGCCTTACCGAGACGTTGAATCAGTTTCTTCTTCAAACAATCGACTTATCACCGAGGAGCTAGATTACGACATTCTCATTATAAAAAATGAGTTTGATCGTATATTTCTTTCATTAACAAATGAGCAACGTCACATTTTCCTTGACATCATGAGTGATGTTAAAGAAAATAAAGGAGGTGTCTTCTTCGTTTATGGTTATGGTGGAACAGGTAAAAATTTTGTATGGAAGAGAATATCTACAACAATTAGATCTGATGGTCATATTGTTTTAAATGTTGCTTTAAGTGGTATTGCTTCGTCATTATTGCCCGGTGGCAGAACAACACACTCTCGATTTATACTTCCATTTGAACTTACTGAGGATTCTGTTTGGAAAATAAATCCAGATGATGAGCTTGCTAGCTTATTAAGAAGAACCTCTTTGATAATTTAGGATGAAACACCTATGGTCCATAAGCATACATTTGAATCTTTAGATCGAACTTTGAAAGATGTATTAAGGTGTGAAAATTCTACCATCTTAAATATTCCTTTTAGAGGGAAAGTTATTGTCTTAGGAGGAGATTTCAGACAGATTCTACGCGTTGTTCCGGGTGGTAGTAGACAGAACGTTGTTAATGCTTCTTTGAGTTCTTCATATTTATGGAAACATTGCAAAGTCCATAGATTAACAAAAAAACATGAGGCTAGCTGTTGGAAGGGATCAATCTGATATAGAAAAAATAAGAGATTTTGCAAATTGGTTATTGGATATCGTAGACGGCAAACTCGGTGGTCCGAACGACGGCGAAACGATTATCGATATTCCGGATGATATTCTCATTAATGATCCAAATTATCCTATAGGTTCATTAATCGAGTTTGTATATCCTTCGATTTTGGAGAAGTACAGCAGTACAAATTATTTCCAAGAAAGAGCGATATTTGCTCCAAAGAATGAAGTTGTTCAGGAAGTAAACGACCATTTTCTTAAGAAGTTTCAAGGATATGAGGTTGAATATTTAAGTTCAGATAGCATATGTAAGTCCGAATTTTTCCATGATCAATTTGATGCAAATTTATACTTTCCTGATGTATTAAATGGTCTCAAAGTATCTGGTCTATCAAATCATAAGTTAGTTTTAAAATTTGGTGTTCCAGTAACATTACTGAGAAATATTAATCAGAAAAACGGCTTATGTAATGGCACAGGTGATATCATTGATATCATTGGGGAAACTTGTTATTGAGACATGTATAATAACTGGAACTAATATTGGAAACCGAACTTTTCTTCCAAGAAGGTCTAACCCCATCAGAAAAAAAAAATCCCTTCAAATCCACAAGAAGACAGTTTCCTTTAGCCGTATGTTTTGCAATGACTATTAATAAGAGTCAAGGACAATCGTTATCGAATGTTGGTTTGTTTCTCAAAGATCCAGTTTTTTCACATGGGCAATTGTATGTTGCCTTATCTAGAGTTTAAAGCAGAGAGGGATTAAAATTATTAATTTTAAATAAAGATGGTAGACTCACAAATAAAACTTCCAATGTTGTTTATAAGGAAGTTTTTCGCAATTTATAGCCACCTTTTTTGTAGCATCTTTTATTCATATTTAGGAAATCACACTTCATCCATCATACTAATTAATTTATTTATAATTCTGTATTGTATTTTTTTTGTTAATTTCATTACCGACATGTTTTGTTTGCTTTATATCAAATCAATTTCGATGTTTTTTGTTGGATTTTTTGTCATTACTCAAACGTATGTTGCATTATATAAAGTCATGACTTTTATAAAATAGGTGGACTTACATTTGAGATTAAACACTTACAATTTACAAAGTTACTAAATATAGGGAACATATCCTAAGAAAAACACCACCATTTCACGGATTTCAAGGTTATGACCAGAAAGCCTAAAGAAGAAACACATGACACAATAAATCAAGGTAAAGTTTTGAAAAAAAACTGACGAAGACAGTAACAACTTCTATTAATCTCACCAAATTAACACCATGAACGATGAAGAAGGACTAAAAATCTTACAATGACAATGAGGACTGATCGAGACAGTGGAGTTGAAGATTTATTGGGGTTGTAAGTTACAATGGCAAAAGTGACCATGAACGACGAAGAAGGAGTAAAAATCCTACAATGACAATGAAGACTGATCGAGATAGTGGAGTTGAAGATTTATTGGGATGGTAAGTTACAATGACAAAAGTGACGTTTTAGCCAACAAACGTTTTTTCTTCCCAAGTGCTCCTTTGTGGTTGCGTCATCATCTCCGTATGTTCAACAAGAATCATGCAACAAAAGTAAGGGTTTTAAAAATCTCCGTTTGTCAATTAAATACTTACAATTTACAAAGTTACTAAAAATAGAGAACATATCCTAACAAAAACACCACCATTGCATGTATTTCAAGGTTATGGCCAGAAAGCCTAAAGAAGAAACACATGACGCAGTAAATCAAGGTAAAGTTTAAAAAAAAACTAACGAAGAAAGCAACAATTTCTATTAATCTTACCAAATTAACACCAAGAACGATGAAGAAGGACTAAAAATCCTACAATGACAATGAGGACTGGTCGAGACAATGGAGTTGAAGATTTATTGGTGTGGTAAGTTATGATGGAAAAAGTGATCATTAACGATGGAGTAAAAATCCTACAATGACAATGAGGACTGATCGAGACAGTGGAGTTGAAGATTTATTGGGGGTGGTAAGTTACAATGAAAAAAGTGACGTTTTAGCTGTAACGCCCGTGTTTCTGGGCTAAGCATTAATGATGATATAATAGTCTAGGTCAACCATTGGAACCCGTTTTGAAGTAATAAGAATGAATTATGTGCTTTAAACTTAATTATTATGATTAAGAATAAAAATAAGCGTCGAAAATTAATATTAGATAAATCCGATATCTATGAAGGAAGTTGTATTGGTCATGACAAGGATTTCGGATATATAAAGAATGCCGAAATCCGAGTTATAACGAAGAAGTTATGACTTGTCGAAGTTTCGCGACAGAACCGGTACGACACTGCGTGACGTAAATAGTGAATTTACGATAGAACGATTTTTAGCCTTAGTGATCTAAACGAAAGTCGTAGAGTTCGTTAAACCGAGAGCGTGCATAAAAAGAATGCCTAAATCTGACTTCGTATAAGGAAGTTATGATTTTTCTAAGTTTCGACTTAGTAGTATGCAGCCCAAAACTCGAAATTTAGATCGAGTGATTTTTAGCTGAAACAATCTAAACGAGAATCGAAGATCTCGTCGATATTAGTGCAACGGTAAAAAGACAGACGAAAACGGACGTCGGATGAAGAAGTTATGAATTTTTAACGGACTTTTCCTGTTCCGGCCCGTTAAAAATATAATATTACAAATGAAGTCAAAATTAGCCGACGGAGTCTAAACGAAAGTTGTAGAGCATAATTTCACCTACGTGTGGATATAAAAAACGTCAAAAACGGAGTTCGTATGCGAAAGATATGAATTTCTGAAGTTCGGAACACAAACTTCGAGGTCTGACTGAACTCACGACGTGAACATAGAAATTCACGACGTGAACTCAGTGAACGACACGTTTTGAGCCTAGAAGACACACGGCAAGCCTAGGAGGTGACCAGGATCAAAGTCACGACGTGAATGTCGAATTTCACACTATAAATAGAAATCGAGGGTATCCGGGAATGGTTGCTAATTCACACTCTCTTTCACTCTCTATACCCTCTCTAGCCATCTTAAAACACCCCGAAGCCTCGAGAACGCCCCTAGCACCCGAAGAAAGCCCGAAGTTCCCGAGAAAAAGAGTTTTTCGAGCCGAAACTCTGCCCGCGTGAAGCCCGGTTTTTCAGAAAACATCCCGGTTTCATCGAAGAATATTGCTTTAAGGTACGAAGTGATGTCCAATCGTCGTCTTATCAAGTGAGTGTATAGTCACTTTTATCTTACACATATATATGAAGTATTTTATATAAAATACGTGCTATGTATATATATGTTGTTTGTTTATTTGAGATGGATGTTGAATGAATGTTTTATACATGTTTAAATGATTTAAAATGTATATATATTTTATCTTCAAATATGTTGGGTAAAACATGGGTAGATAAAGAATGAGGGATGAAAGTACGGTATAGATGTACGTTGGTAGCTATGGATTTAGTACCTTGGTAGCTATGGACTTAGTGCATGTTGTATAAACCCTGGCGACGATGTGACTTCGTGCCTATTTGACATAAATTGCTGAGGAAAAGCAGTGTTGTCACCCTGATGTTTGCCTTATTTGACATAAATTGCTGAGGAAAGCAGTGTTGTCACCCATTGGTTGCCTTATTTGACATAAATTGCTGAGGAACCCCCGAAGCAGTGTTGTCGCCCTGATGAAAAAATTTTAGACTAGGTCCCTAATAAATAAATACTTTAGGGACGTAAAGTGAGGAATACGGGAATGGGTAATCAGGGTTATTTTTGGTTGATGAAATTAATAAATTTATTGTTGGTTGATGATATTAATAAATTTATTATTTGTGGGTTGAAAACCCTATATGCTCACCAGGCTCCCAAGCCTGACCCACTCAGTTTCTTGTATTACAGTTAGTGACAAGAGCATAGTTGGATGACTTAACGAGATATTTTGGATTATAGGCCAGTAGATGTAAATAAATGTTGTAAGGCTTATAATATGTTGTTTATGTTTTTGATCTGTATCAGAACATGACATCCCGAAGTTTTGTTATGAAATGGAAAATATATTTCTTTAAGAAATGATTTGATAAATTTTTATTATATTTTGTTTTGTGAACAAATTCCGCAACATATTTTGGAAAATTACTCTGATTTTATTTTAAAAGTATAAACTAAATCGGTCTTTTCTGGCCGAGAAATTTGGGGATGTCACATTAGCCAACAAACATTTTTTCTTCCCACGCGCTCCCTCGTAGTTGCGTCATCATCTCCGTATGTTTAATAAGAATCATGCAACAAAAGTAAGGTTTTTAAAAATCTCCGTTTGTCAATTAAATACTTATAATTTATAAAGTTACTAAAAATAGGGAACATATCCTAAGAAAAACACCACCATTGCACGGATTTCAAGGTTATGGCCAGAAACCCTAAAGAAGAAACACATGAGGCAGTAAATCAAGGTAAAATTTTGAAAAAAACTGACGAAAACAATAACAATTTCTATTAGTCTCACCGAATTAACACCATGAACGATGAAGGAGTAAAAATCCTACAATGACAATGAGGACTGATCGAGACAGTGGAGTTGAAGATTTACTGGGGTGGTAAGTTACAATGACAAAAGTGACGTTTTAGCCAACAAATGTTTTTTCTTCCCACGCACTCCCTCGTGGTTGCGTCATCATCTCCGTATGTTCAACAAGAATGATGCAACAAAAGTAAGGGTTTTAAAAATCTATGTTTGTGAATTAAATACTTAACAATTTTTAAAGATACTAAAAATAGGGAACATATCCTAACAAAAACATCACCATTGCATGGATTTCAAGGTTATGGCCAGAAAGCCTAAAGAAGAAACACATGACGCAGTAAATCAATGTAAAGTTTTGAAAAAACTGACGAGGACAGCAACAATTTCTATTAATCTCACCAAATTATTGTGTAATTAAATATTTACAAATCACAACGTTATTAAAAATACAATATTACAGTTCATAATTTTTCTATATTAATGATGGTCTTTCCTGTAAAATGAATACAAACGTGTAGTGATGATCTTTACTGTAAAATGAATACAAACATAGTACCTGTAGACATGTATTTTGATGGAATAATTGCTTTGTGCTTTTTTCAGTTGATGCCAGATTTGCTGCTATCAGTATAATTAGTGATGTGGTATTCGTGATGGATTGAAATTCTTTGGCCTTTATTCCCCTGTTTAGAAAGGTATGATATTTTTGTAAAACTTAATCTGATTAATGTGTTAGAAGCAGTTCAAACACATTGGTCAACAACTCTACGAATATCAACCGTTGCCTTCAGAGAATGTGTTAGAAGCAACTCAAACACATTGGTCAACAACTGTGCACATATCAACCATTGCCTTCAGAGGATCTAAGGAATCATCTTAGGCCATCAACTCTTTATGCAACGACTTGTTTCCAAACTTAAGTTTTATCAACCATGTCTAGTATCTTGAGTGCCCACGAGGATCGAATTTAAGCCCCTCCACTTCTTTAAGATCTGCCTGAAGGCTGGTTATTTGCTCCTTCATTAGTGCACCCGAGGATGTTCGCATAAATGTGGCATGAAAATAACCCAAAATGACCAACCAATTTGGATTCACCCGAATTTGGACCCCTTGAAATGTGTTAGGGTAGTGGCGCTCAATAGCCTCCGGTAGGTCTTTCGCCTCTTGTCCCACATCATTCCCTCTTCACCTGAACTCTACAAGTTCCATGAGAATCCTCGAGTGTCCTCTTCTTAGCCAAGTTTGTTCGCATTATTGTATTAGAATCTTCATTCTTAGGTACTCTTAGAAACAACAATGGTTCATTGAGCATCAAAAATGTTTATTGGAAACTTACATTGATATGCAAAAAGCTCTACAATATTTAATTAAAGGCACGGAGGGGCCAAAAGTTCTTGAATGTTATGAGAAGTTAGAGGAAATTGGTTGGGTAAGACCAAGTAGATCCTCTACTCGTGCCTGCTTTTTATATTTTTGGTGCTTTTTATATTTTAGGAGTGTCCACACAAACATGAGAGAGGCATGGATGACATTGGCACAGATATTCCTCGGGAGTATTAAGAGGATTCCTGACGTTGACGGCTACAACTTTAGGGAAACATTGTTTGGTTTTTTTGCAACCATAGATTGGTTTTTTTTATGTTGGTACATGGTAATAAACATTGTTTGGTTTATTTGCTTATGTTGGTAGCATATGTTAAAAACATTATATGGTTTGTGCCATAGTTGGAAACATTATACGTTTAATGTTTATGTTTTCAAGTTTTAATTATGATAAATAAAAAAAAGAACATATCTAAATGAGTTGTCGTAATAATAAATTTTTACATTTCTGTCGGTTGTTTTTCCATTTTAACTTAAAACATTTTAGTTATCATCATACAACGAATGAGAAAGCAAACGGGCAACAAGTTGCGCCGCTAAGCCCTTTTGTATGGTAAAGTCAATTCTTTTGAAGACTACATACATAGATCTAGGGGATATAACATTGCTATACATGATCTGTTGTAGTCTATTAAGAAGCTTCACCGCATCTGGCGCAAGGAAAATCTACATAAAATTAACGAATGGGACGGAAGTTCAAATAATCTTAAAAAACAAGTTTTTTCTAAAAATATTATTACGTCCAAACATTAACCATCTCAAATTTAAAAATAAACAAACAACACATACATAAAAATAAGCACAGATACATACTTTATTGAGTGTATTTTCATCGACTATATAGTGTACAAAAACTACTTTATGGACTATATGTGTATAATGGCATAATACAAGCCATTCATAAGCCATATAGGATTTTAAATCAGCAAAAACCTACTACAACAGGTCATATTAGTGACTAAATATGTTAAAGTTCATTACCTTTAGTCCTTTACAAAGTCATTAACCCATTCCTCTTGAGTTGTCCAGATTTTTGCTTATCATGTATTAGTGTTCAACAGATGGTTGATTTGATTCCTACTAGGGATGGCCAAGCTACACGAGCTCGGAGTGTTAAAAGCTCAAAAGGAGTCGAGCCTTAACGATCTCAAACTCGAGACTGGAGGTGAGGGCTCGTTTAAGTAATAAATGTGAGCTGTTTACAACTCAGGGAAAGTATATAACAAAAAAACATGTCAAAAAAGTATAAAGAAAGCACACTGTAGTCAATTAATTAAACATGATTTGTTTCTTACATCATCCGTCAGACTAAAAACGAAATCGTTCATTTTGATAAATAGAACTAAAGGGCAATACTTCCTCCTCTCTTCTGTTTTGTGCTTTTAGATTATCTAATACTTGGTGATGAAAGAACGACGCATCCATCATCAACGTTAATGTGGATGTCTAGCTCTTTCATGGCTCCATTTTTCAGATCATAATAGCACATACCCTTATTATTGCTTTTACATTCCAGGATGATATATCTAGATCTTTTACTCATTACGCCACAGAGGGGAAATCTGTTGTAGCACCATCTGTGGAGAATACTAACTGACAATCTTCTGTAGTACCACATCTTGAGAGTAATTGATTGCAACTTCTCCCACTTCTTCCTCTCAAAATCTTTAAGAATCCATATATCAGCTTTGTCCAGACTATTTTCAGCAAAGAAAGCCAGGTAACCACCCATCTCAAAAATAGTATACACAAATCCGAATCCCTTATCATAATTGGGTACACTCATATCAACAATTTCCTCTTTCACCATATCCATGGAAACAAGGCTATTATCAATGCAATTATCCCAGTGAAGGTACCTACCCTGAATTGAAACCAGGTTAGAAGAATAAAACGACCCACCATTCATACATGGAACATGGATCTTTTTCCACTTTGAAGAAACAATATCTCTTCTCAAGATAAGAATATGACATTCGATAGGTGGTCCCATAAACAAGTAAACCACTTTGTATATTCCCTTGAACAGATTGAAAGAAAGTGCAACTCCACATTTGATCGTACAATATCCTCCACATGATGCAATATTACGTTCGGGAAGATATGATCCTTCCTTGGTGATTAGATTATAAACATACAGAGATTGTTTTTTATAATCTGATATCAGAAGAAGCTCGTTAACCCAAGACCTTATAATGCCTATGGGAGGTATGTCAAGATCCTGCACTTTCATGACGTGTATCCCTTGTTCTTCTTCTCTTATACCCACATGACGTGCTGTCAAGTTTCCCGTCTTCTGGAGGATAATAAAAGAAGTATCGTGTAGCAAGATCCTGTTAGTCATTATATTAAACCATCGTCTACACACATACTTAGCCAAATAACGAGGGAAATCATCAGGGAGCCTTTTAAGGATATCTAAAAGGATGTCATCTGGAAGAAACATAAACCGGTCAACCTTCTTTCTCTTTCTTTTCATCGGCAATTTTGATTCTTTCCTGGAGATGCTCATTACCATCTCCATAGAATTCTGTTTCAAAATAGTATATTACATTTTCTTGTAACCATTAACACAAGGAAGAAATAACTAATATGCTAAAAGAAATACAAGTTTTTAATGTACGTTATAATTACTAGCTAGATAGATCTTTTGGAAGGAGCAAAACCAAGTCTATCTGATCTAAAATTGATTGAAAAGAAAGAATTACCTCTTTAATTTGTTCAAAACAGACAGAGCACATGAAGCACAAATTGTGTAATGCTTAATTAGCGGAGTTCTAGCTAACTGTTGTAAACTAGCTGTTGTATATATGAATATAAAATCTATAATTACTTAGCCACAATCCATCGATCGGATCGTAGAAAAGGTTTGGCGCATATACTGTAAGGCTAGATACGTAACGAATCGAAATTGCAGAGTGTAAATTGCGATTTGATCAACATATATTTGCGTCGAATTGCATGCACATAAGAAGCCACATTAACGAAATTGGCACGAGTAGGTGATGAGAGAAAACCTGTAGCACGCTAGTCATAAGTGAGGAGATCGATGATAATATGTAGAAAATGGGGGGTTTTCTAGGGTTTAATCTAGCAGAAACGCGAAGCAACCGTAGTCCCTAGATGTGGTGTTTTTCCAAATCTTTTACTAACGAGAATCGAAGTCTGCAATCTACTATGCTAACATTATTTTTTTGGGGATCTTTTATTTAATAGAAATATACTATGACAAATATTTCTAATAAATAGAGATTTTTTAAGATTCTTCTTAGTTAATATATTTATTATCATGATTTTAAAAGTTTGTAAAACCCCCATCAGAATTATCATTTTTATGTATTTATGTTTTCTGTATTATATTACTTAAACTTAACATCTAATTAAATGAAAAAGAATGAGATATATGTAAAACATATTAAACTTAACAATTTTTTTATTTTTATATCTTTTACGACATTCATCGTTTAATTAAAATTTTTGTTTGTTAAACTGTAATTATATGTTCATCATACAACTAACAACTTGTTACAATTAATGTAGCTTCCTTTCATGATGCTTTAGATTATGAAAAATAGAAAAAAAAAATTATAAATCAAAATATTCAAAAATTAAGAAAACATAAGGAAAAGGAAATAAATAAATAAATAAATATATTTATCTATAGCTAAGGTTTCGATGGAGTTGAGCGATATCTAAATTTCAAAGTGAATATTAATACTACAAATTAATATACAAAAACAAAACATTTCTAAAAATTTCTCCTTTTCTCTGCCAAAAAAAAATTTGTTTAAAATTCCCAATCTACCACACAACCCTCTATAATATTTTAAATTCTAATAATATAATTACTTATATGAAGTATGAAGTTGGTGTCATAAATAAATATCATTAAATATAATAAATTACAAAACTCTTAAAAATAAAAAGTTATAAGGTTTCAGATCAATACGGTGTAAGTAATAAATAATAATAATAATTCAAAAATGTATATTCTTTATAATAGATAATAATACAAATATATTCAGATAATAACAAATATAGCAAATACATAAATATATAAATCGTAGATTCTTTATTTTTAGGGTAAATTACAGGGATTGTCCCTGTGGTTTAGGGTAATCTGTATGTTTGGTCCCTAATTTTTTTTAACTCGGACCGACCATATTTTATATTTTTGTTGCACAATTGGCCCCTATCCATTTTAAAAAGACTTATTTACCCTTACTGAATTCTTTTACATTTTTTAAATTATCAATTAATTAAAAAAATATTAATTAAATGTGAAAAGGGTATTAATTAAATATGAAAATCTAATGGCCCCACCACCTCATTACTACTTCACCCACCCAACCCCTCACCCTCTTCTTCTTCTTCGATAAACAACCTACAACTCTATCTTCTCCGACGCACACTCATACCTCCTTCTCCGGTAAGATTGAATTGATTTCTAAAAGCCAAAACCAAAGTTATCCCAAATCAAATCTAAAATCCAACTTGAAACCAAAATCACACTCATCCGAAATGAAATCTAATATCCTGGAAACCAAAACAAAATGAAATGAAATAAAAACCTAAAACCATTACTAAAACAAACCATTTTTTATTCAGAAACCCAAAACGAATATGAAACAGATGTTGGAGCTATTTATAAAATATGTTTTCAGAAACATCATAAAGATCGATTGCATAAAATTTGATGCTTCAAGTCGATGGTCCAGTGGTGACCGGTGAGAGAAAGAAAAAAGAGAGGGGAAGGTATTCTGATGGACATGCCGACCTCTGGCCAACATCACCACCACTAACCTCCGACACCACCACCACTACCTCTTCACCAGAAAAATAACATCAGTGTTCAGATCCAAAAAAATACGCTAACCCAGAAATCCATTCAGGAGATCAAAGTCATTAAATAAATCAAATTCATTAACAAAACATCTAATGCAACAAAAAAACCATCTAATGCAGCAAAAAAAAAAGATATATGATGCAGAAGCTTTGATTTATTCTGATTTGAAGCCTAATCGAGTGCACCTGGACTAGATTATGTCTAACAAGAGCATAAATACAATTGATTCTTTAGGCTTTTCAACTAATTTGAACCCTAATCGACCAGGAGGTAGGGGTGTTGATCGGATAATTTTTTGGGTTTCGGGTAATTCGAGTTTTTCATGTTAAAAAAATACCCGTTACCCGACCCAAATTAAATTCGGGTAATTCGGGTATTACCCGATATATATATATATATATATATATATATATATATAATATATATATATATATATATATATATATAATGGCACCTAAAAATAAATTTAATGAAATAAATATGTCTTGCTCTATTAGTATTGTTTATATAAACAAATGAAGCATAAACGAAGTTACTTAAACTTTGAACATTGAGATTTTTTAGTCAATAATACTTGAGATATCAAGTAATTTTTTAACAGCTTAATTTAATCGAATAAGATGTTAAAAACAAATACTTAAAGATCTTGGTTTAAAAGTTTAAAATGTTTAAGATAATTGTAGCCATAAGTTTTGCCATGTTCTTAAGTTTCGTCAAAATAATGAGTTTGTTAGTTCCAATAAAAACTATAATCTAGAAAACAGTTAAGTTTTAAAGAACATGGTGACATGTAAACAATTGCTTTTAATATTGTTGGTGTCATACTGCCATAATAAAAGAGATTCTTGTTTTAGAATAATGGTAGTTAGTTTAAACGTGATTAGATACCTTGCTACAAAGTACAAGTTTTACGAAAGAAAAAAATGAATTTTAAAATAATTCGGGTAATTCGGGTATACCCGAAACCCAACAAATGTACCTTATACTCAACCTAAAAAAAATCAGGTTACCCGAATACCCAAAAAAATTAACCCGACACCCGATTTACCCGATACCCGAAAAAATCGGGCGGGTAATTCGGTATCGGGTATTTTCGACAGGGTTACCAGGAGGGTTTTATGTGAAGGTGGGGTGGTGGTTTAAAACAACCAAGGCAGTGACGTGATCTAGGGTTTTGGTCTCCGGACACCGGATGACGGACGTGAAATACTGATGATTTCTTATGTGAACAGGCGGTGGTCAACATGAATCAACAATATCATAACTGCCTTAACTCTAACAATAGGAACGGTGGTGGTGGTGGTGCTTGAGGTCGACGATGACATTTAGGGAGAAGATCTACGAGAATAGTTTAAGAAAAGGTAAATGAAGGATTGTGGGGTGAGTTTATTTATTTATTTAATTTGTATAATAATTAAAATCAAATTATAAAAGAAATAGAAAAATATTATTTAAGTGTAAAATAGACATTTTATCTTGATTAGGGACTAAATCTGAAACAAAAATAAAATATAAACCAAACATACATATTAACTCAAACCACAAGGACCATTAGTGTAATTTACCCTTATTTTTATAAAGACAAAACTGCAAAAATGGTCCGTGTGGTATGCATTTTTTTGGGGTTTTAGTCCAAACCCCAACATTTTTGGATTTGTGGTCCTTTTGAGCTAGTTTTATTGTGTTTTTGGTCCCTCTGAATAGCGAAATGATTGTAATACCCTTGGGGTATTTATTTTCCATTTTTCTTTCATTTCTTCTTAAATCTAATATTAATTAATTTATTTAAAAAATAAAAAAATAAGAAGGGCCTACCTTCTCTCTCTCTCTCTCTCTCTCTCTCTCGACTTCATTTGCTTTTCTTATTGATCTCTCTAAACAAACATTCAAGAAACACTTGATCGGTTCCTTTCTACCCCCCAACAATTTGAAATCCTAACTTAGTTTAGCCTCACCTGCATTTCTCTCTTCATCAACTACCGACCAAATAGATTAAACCATTATATATGCCTTCAACCCTTTTTCTGCCCAGAAACTGTAAGCACATCAAACCCCCGCTCAATCCACAAAGCTTGAAGAACATAAACTGTTGCAGATGTTGGATCCAACCCTCAAGAATTTCTTCTAGATTCATCTAAAAAGAAGAAAGGATCTCTAACAGAGATTATCCCTTCACAACCTCTGATTGAAGCACTAAAACTTGTAACACCCCGTTCTAAAAGTATTTATTTATGGATTTCCGAGATCAAGAGTAAGGGCGTTTCGGTCTTTTGTGGGCAATGGGTTTCATTCGAGAAGGTTTTCGGACCGGGGTGTGTTGCTAGAAGCGTAGGGCTTCTCGCCACCTTTGCGTGGATATAAAGTTCGTCGGGAACGGATTTAGAAGAAAGGAGTTATGACATTTTAAAGAAAGTGACATTTATGGCCCTTAATGGAAAAAGTTGTCGAGGTAGGCCATGCATGCAATTGGGACACGCGTGGGTACGCCCAGCGTAGGCTGGGTTACGCCCAGCGTAATAGAGTAAATGATCGCGGGTGCAAGGACGCGTACGCCCAGCGTACTAGAGGTACGCCCAGCGTACGCTCAGAGTCATTAAACCCTAATTTTAGGGCCAGCCACTATATAAAGAACATAAAGGATCAACCCCCAACCTCCTTATCTGTTCCCTTATCCTCAGAAAAACCCTAGGTAGTCGTTCCACCTCCATTGTTGGGTGTGTTTGGCTTTGTGGAGCTTAGTTTGGCAAAGGAAAGCTTAGAGGAAGAAAGAAGAGGTTGGCAAAGAAGGAACCTTGGTGGCTGGAGCTTGTAGATCTGAGATAGCACCACCTTTTGCAACTATTTAAAGGTATAAAGCTTCTTGCTTGACATCTATTTTGTGTAGATCTAAGTGTTGTGAAGTTTTGACACCATTCTTGTCCCAAAAATCCCCAATATGATGCATGATGTGTTTTGGTTAAGTTAAGCTGTCCTTTCAGACCATAGGAGAGGTCTTGAGTGAGAAAAATGAGGTCCCAATGGCTTTGGTTGTCCCATGTGTGAAGTTGGAAGGTCTTAATGGGTTAAGACCTTGAGTTAAGAGCTTTATGGACGTCAAACAGGATAAAGTTTGAGACTTTATGAGTCCTAGGCCCTTTTTGTCACTAGATCTGGCATATGGGCTTAAGTGCTTAAGCCATTAAGCACATGGAAGGATTTTGGTACAAACGCACGTACGCCCCGCGTACCAAAGGAGTACGCCCAGCGTACGCCCTCTGTTGGGTTTTTGAATTTGGGCTGTGAAGTATTGGGCTGTTTATGGGCTAGTTGGGCTTGGGCCGTGAC